AAAGTCTTCAGTGAATAAGGAGGCCTAATACACAGCTTCATGCTTTTATCTTCATGAATGGACTGTAATTTCAGCATGATCTATTAAGTAAAGGTCTAATCTATCAGTTTATTTCTGTTATAAACAGGATAATTAATGGATTTGCTGATTTTTCCAATGGTCTCCAGCTGACATTGTCTTTTTGCTTTGATTTATTCACTGCCAGTGACCATTCCACTCTATTTTTTTTATCTTTGGGAAGAACCAAGTAAACTGCCCTTCTTTATATTCCTAGATACTCACAATCTGATCTGAGAAAGAGGAAGACAGGGAGGGGGAACCTTGGAAACAGGTACTGTGGCCTCCAGACCCTGTAGTGCTTTCAAAGGCTCCAGCTGTTTCACAGCTGCAAGAATCCCCCAGAGAGAGGCAATGTCTGGAGGTGGTGGGGTAGAGTTTAGGATCCAGGGGATATGTCTTGCCAAGAGATGAAAGTAGGGTCCAGGGAACAATGAAGATCAAAGGTTAGATCTCCCACTGAGTGTCTGTGCAATGAGAGGAGAACAGGGGTAACTTGATGCTGTGATATTCTGAGAATACCAAAGGATTTCACCATTGTCTCCCTGGATCACTACACTCCCCAACTATTTCTGTTAAACGTTAATACAAAGTGTCAGGAGAGCTTTACCCTCATTAATTAGCTAATCCCTGTGGTATTCCCACAGGATGAGGTCAGAAAGATTGCCATTTTGATAGCAGTAAAAAAATAAGCAAGGACAGGGGCACCTGGGTGGCTCAGTCGGTTAAGCGTCCGACTTCTGCTCAGGTCATGATCTCATGGTTTGTGGGTTCGAGCCCCACATCTGGCTCTGTGCTGACTGCCAGCTCAGAGCCTGGAGCCTGTCTTCGGATTCTGTATCTCCCTTTCTCTCTGACCCTCCCCTGCTCATGCTGTCCCTCTCCCTCTCTCAGAAAAAAATAAAACATTTAAAAAAAATAAGCAAGGACAAGGAGAGAAATCACAGAAAATTTCATATATTCATCAAATATTTACTGAGCAATCACTGCATGCCTTGTACTGCATTAATATTGAAGATACAATGTGAACAAGACATAGTCTCTCCTGTCTAATGTTGACCTAAGATGTTGGGGGGTGGGGATGAATAGACCACACATTTTAATTTAAGGGCATGGAGTTTGCTAACATCAAGTGATAAGAAAGAAAATTCAGAAAAATGGAATTGGGATTTTTATATCAGGAGTGCACAGCTAGGTAGAGTGATCTTGCCAAGATTTTGATGAACTTGAGTGATTTTGACAATGAGAATCACAGAGAACTTCACAGATGCTTTAGTACTTAGGGTGCATTTTATCTTTACAACTTAGTAAGGTCATTGGAGTGAACATTTACTTATCCTAATACTCTATCCTTATCCCTCATCCCCTTTCCTTGATAAAGGAACTGGGGATCAGAGAGTAAGTAATTTGTTTTGTGTTAAGCAGAAAGAGAATCTGGATGTTCTGACCCAGGCTAGGGCTCTCTCCACTACTCCAGACCACTTCTTCAGATCCAGAGTCTGTTCTCCAAACTGCTTTTCCTGCATAGCACTTTGAGTTCTGGTTTTGTTAGGATGAACTGTCTGAGTTAGAAAAACAGATACCTTGGGCTTCACATATAGTCATCCTCAGAGGCAGCATTGCCTCTGGTCATGAGTCTGATGGACACTGAGAACTCTCTTTCCTTTATTCCATGTCTGGTAAAAGAAGAATAGAGCCTAGACTACATTGTCATGCCCTTCCTCCCCTGCCCCAGTGCCTTTGTGCCTCACTGACTTTGTGCCTCTGGAAGGAAATGAGAGATGGAGTGGTGTAGTAAGGTGGCCTTGGTGTCACATTTCTGGGCTAGAATTTTTGCGCTGGCATTTGTGAGCTAGTAACTTCAGGCAAGTTTCTTAACCTTTCTGAGCTTCACTGAAGGATAGTAATAACCCCTTAACAACATCGTTTATACAATTAAGCATAGCTCATTGGCTGACACTAGAAATGGGAGAAAGAGCTGTTATTACCAGGGAGTCCAAAGCCTTTGCCATCCTGTCTGAGAGTCCTGGCCCTGTACCCTCTCCACTGACAGATCAGGTTCCATAGAGATTAATCACTTAATCCAAGAAATCCTGAACATGGAAAACCATTGTTCAGGGATCTAAGAGGCTCACAATGTTGCCTCATCGCATCTTGACCTAGTGGATCCCCTCCTTTGGGGATGGCACTCTCCCATCCTTCCCTCACTACCTAATTCATCAAAAAGAGCCTCAATGAATGGAATTTGGGTCCCAGGAAGGCCACAGCCAGCCCTGAGCATAGAGTTCCAGGAAAGGAAAGAAATCCAGAAGTCTTGCACTCTCCCAGCCCTGATTCCAGTAGGAACTCCCTATAGTGGAAATTTGTTAAAACCATGAACACATCAAGGAGGGTCTTGATAATATATAACTTCAGTTTCCTTCCAGCCTAATCTTCCCCCCACCCAAAGAGCTTTCCAGGATGGGACAGCAGAATCCAAACAAGCCTCCCCTCAGTTTTCCAAGCTAAATGCTGATAATCTCAATTTCTATGTTTTCGCTTGTAAAAATCTTATAAATTTTTAATGTTTACTTATTTTTTGAGAGAGAGAGACAGAGTATGAGTAGGGAAGGGGCAGAGAGAGAGGGAGACACAGACTCCAAATCAGGCTCTAGGCTCTAAGCTGTCAGCACAGAGCCTGACAGAGGGCTCGAACACACCAACTGAGAGACCATGACCTGAGCTGAAGTCAGATGCTTAACCGACTGAGCCACCCAGGCACCCCAAAAATCTTATTTTTCAAACTGAATGCATTTCTCACCTCTAGACTCTGAGATTTTGTATTCCTCCTTGGTTCAGGTAGGAGCTGAGGTGTGTGGTGGTGGAGGTTAATCCAGTACAGTTTGGAAAGAGTGCCAGAAGCTAACACTCTCCTGATTTAGGTGGAGGAGGAGAAAGAAAGGGAAGGTTGACATCCAAGAACACAAGATGTTCTCTTTTTGGTAATCCAGAAAGACATTAGTGTCTTCTTAGCCCAATGAATACTAAAGGGGAGCCTCAGGGTAGAGGGTGGCAAGATGTGGGAGTGATAACTGGGTGGGGGTCAAGGGAAGTGAGAGGAAGGGCTTGAAAGTGTGAGTGAGGAATTTTCCAGGTTATGGGTATGTTAGTTAATAAGACAGTTGGTTCTTCATCAGCCAGTTCTCCCCATCCCTGTTGATTCTGCAGCCAGTTCAGCTAGGCTTTAGTCTTAAAGGTGATGGACGCTACTAAATCACTATGTGTCACCTGTGGGTAGGTTGGTATTTATCCTCCAAAATGTTAATTCGGGCCTCTACTATTGCACAGCTCCAGAGAACACCATTTGCCTCATGGTTTACGTCATATAATAGGGGATATCTTTCACATATGGTACAATGTAAATGGTGCCCTCTGGAATTGTGCAACTCAGTTGTCTTTCAATGTGGGACTCAAAAGCCTGCAAAGCAACAAGTCTTTTAGGGGAAAATGCTGGCCCCGGGTGAAGAACAGATTCTCTGACTGGATATTTAAGTCTGTGAATAATGCCTCTGTTCATTCACTCATTCATTGGGAAGGATCTCCCAATTACTGTTAACCTGAGATTCAGAACTTTCTGACTGGAGACTTTAAATGTTTCCAAGTCTTCCTCTCCAACCTCAGCATCCACTACTCCCCCATATGACCACATCTATGGCAGACTGATGATATGAACATGCAATGTGTCGTTCTGACTCCACATCTTGCCCCTGGAGTTCCTTCTAGCCGGAATTCTTTCTCTCTAGATCTGAATCCTATTTAATTATTGACACTCAGCTTGCATCTTATTCTGCTGCCTTCCTTGTCCATCCCAGTTCAGTGATACCTCTCCTCTATTCTCCAAACTCCTTTACAGGTCTGTTCCCCTCATCTGGCACTTTACATCAAGTCATAACAAACTACTGCTAAAAGCTACTGCTAAATCTTGGTTTCTGAATTAGAACTTAATTCACACTTTGTAGCCTTATAAGGCCCTGTGTGATTTGACCCCAGACTAGTTCTCTGACTTCATTTCTTCCTACTTTAGTCTTCATCCACTCCCCTAATTTAGATGCACGGGCTTGTTCTCTAACTCACCAAGTTCATTTCCATCTGAAGCTTCTGCACTCACTGTTCCCTCTGCTTGGAAGACTCTTTCTCCAGACATCCTCAGACATACTAGACAGTAAAATCTACAAGGGCAGAAGCTTTTGCTTTTGGTGTATTTACCATTGTATTCCAAGTAGCTAGAACAGTGCCTGGCCTGTGGCAGGTGATTGGTTAATAACTAAATGTTGGATGAAAAGTATAAATAATAGGCTGCCTTGCATTGTTTGTCTCTTTCTTCCCTTTGCTCCATCTTTCCCTTTGTACCTACCCCATCCCTCAATCGTAAGCACCCTGAGGACAGAAATCTGTCCTCATCATCTAGCTCAATGCCTTGAGTATAGGTGCTTTAATAAGTGTTTGTTGACAGAATGAGACAGAATGGGGAAAGAGTTCTTTCATGCCTTTCCCACTAGGCGGGCTCAGCAGCCTCCAAAGAAGAAAAAGAGTAACCCTTGTCCTCCCAGAGCTGCTTATGCTTGGGTTCAACAAGCTGGCCACCAACCCCAGCCTCAGGAATGTCTGATCCTATCACAGCAGAGCTATTCTTCACTGGGAATTCCCTTCTCACCACCACCACCACCGTCACCTCTGAGCTGGTTGGACTCAGACAAAGGGTATCTGACCACCCACCTAGAACTGAACCACTTCCGTCAGCACTTATCTAATCTTAGAAAAAAACCAGGATTCTGCTAAAGTAACTGCTTGGTTTACAGAGTGAAATCTTCTAGCAAGATTTATTAAAAGATCATGACTTTGGCTGCTATATTTCAAAGACCGGGCAGACATTTAGGTGATAGAGTTAAATAATCCAAACTTACCTCATACTCCCTCTTTCTCTCTCTCTCTTTCAAGGGTGAGCATTCTGTTCTTCTTCCAAAACCCAGTCCTTCTCCATATTTGGGAATCTGGAATGGGCACTAGGGGCACAGCCCTGTCTCCTCTCAGTGTCTTCTGGGAGCTGTAGTTCCCAATGAGTGACGGCTGCTTTTTTCTGGCCAGCAAGTGCGTTTTCCTTTCTCAGGAGTCTATGTCTGTAAACATGCAGTGGGGTGGAAGGGTGCTATTAGGAGGCTTGCCTTCTATTTTCAGCCCTCTGGTTTTATGCAAGACACTATTCTTCTGTGGCTCAATCTCCCGGCCTGCAAAATGGGGATAATTATCTCTCTTTTCCTGGCTCCCAGATTGTTGGGTGGGGTAATTAGCCAGCACCCATTAAATGCTTTGAGCTTATTCCAGCAAGGAGTGCTTTGTAAATAAAAATTGTTATCTTTAAAGAAGAAAATATTAATTTTCATTGCCTAATTGCCTCCACAAACCAACTCTGCCTGTATGTCAGAAAGATGCTAGTTAATTCCTTGTATATGCCTTCCACCCACACTGCTTTTAATGGTTTCCCTGTATCTCATTCCGTTTTGTTTCATCATCTCTAGTTTTGTATCATCAAGAATAAACACTCTCTCTGCCTCCTCTCTGAAAAAAAGGAAAGGACAAGACAGACCAGCTCTGCCCTATGTCCAAAGCACAAGAAAGCCAGGAAGAAGGAATGACTGGGACCTGATCTGAGCTCTACAACTTTATGTCTTCCCAACTCACACATGCACATACGTGATCAAGAGCTTGTTTCTGCAGAAGAGGCTGACCTTTGTTCCTTCTGAAGAAGAAACAGATTTCACTGCAGCAAGAAGGGTTTTTGAAGGATCTTACTAAGAATCCCCTTCTCTGGAGCTCTGAAAGAAGCATTTTGACACTCCACGTCTTTAGTCAGAGGAAAGAGACTGGCACAGTGTAGTGAAAACAGCAGCAGGCTTAGAATTAAAATGGTTGGGTCCTGGCTCCAAGGCTTCAGGCAAATTGTTTGACCTCTCTGGCCTTGGTTTCTTTAGCTATGAAATGGAAATAATAATATATGTTTGAATGTTTTGTACAGTGCTGCACTAAGGTTACTTGTTCATAAAATGCAGTATGATGCTGTGATTAAAAACAGAGAATGTTAAAGTCAGACACATTTAGATTAAAATTGCACCTGGATTTGCTGTGGATATTTTATCAAATCACTGTTCTCTGAATCTTAGTTATAGTATCTCTAAGATGGGGATAGTGAGGATTACATGAGACAATGCATGCAGTGGATTGAACACAGAGTCTGGCACACACTAATTTCTCAATAAATGTAATTATGACTATTATTAATATATTATATCAATGTAAATGTGGCTCTGACAATGCATTATCTTTGCATTATGAATACTTATCTCACTCTTGGTCACCTTTGTTATAATCAAATAAAGTAAAGATGCCTTTGAAGTTGTAAAGTACTACACCAGTGTGAAGGATGACTAGAATTAAACCCCAAAACAAGGGAGATGGACTCCTCAGAATTCTCCTTGCAGCTTCAGGATTATATAGAATTAAGGATGAGCAACTACTTTTCAGCTACAAAGAACTATAACATGTGAATTGTCACTAGTAACAGCAGGATTATTTGCTTCTTGTTTTAGGTAGTGGGTAATACCAGTATTCCACTGAAAAATAAAAAGGGTTCCTATGATATACTATGAATGAATAAGTCAGGTTACAGGGCAGCATAATTATGTGTAATTATACATTTATACTCTGTGTTTGTGGAAGGGTGTTCATCAGAATGTTAAAAGTTGTCATTTATGGGTGATGGGATTTCAGATGATTCTTATTCTCTTGTACTTTTCTGTCTTGCTTGGATTATTTTTACTCTGGTTATGTATCATTTTAACAAAAACAGTTAAAAGTCAAAAGAAAAGCAGATATTGAAAGGCAAATCTCAGGTTGTAAAACACTAGGAGAATCCATCTGGTGGTCCTTTAACCCCAGAGAATGTTTTCTTAGGTATGAAAAATGGACTTTCTGGCAACAAGGAGAAGCCGTATGACAAATATCTCTGAAAAGAAGTTGGAGGGGAATGGAGTCCCTCCAAAATGGCCCTGAAAGGAGAGGAAGAGGTGACCTTTCATCTCTGTTTATTTCTTAGGCTGTAATAATATGATAGTTTTAATCATAGCCTGTATAGACCTGAGTTTCCTTATTTGCTATGGTAACGTATGATTCCTGTTTTACTACCTCTGTTCTTTCTGGTCCCTTAGACCTGGCTGTTAGGTAGAACTATGAACTCACCCCTTCATTCATGCTGCCCAGGTAATCACCCTTTGTCATGACTGATTAGAGGAAGGGTGTGGTGAGCCTATTTGTAATCAGCTTCCATTAGTCCCTCTTTACTTTAGAACCAGAAGTACAAAGAACAAACTTCCCAGTGGGACACGAAATTAAAGAGATGGTGACAGCATGCCTTACCATTCATGATAATCTTCCCAGAAAACTTCCCACAAGCAAGTCCACACAAGCTTGGAGACAGCTTGTCAGTTGTGCAGCCCATCCCCAATGAGGACAAGAGAGTGGGAGGTGGGGGAAGGGAAGGGCAGGTTCTTTGTTGTCACAAACAACTATCTGCAGAAAGAACTGAACCATTTCAGATTTCAGAATTGAAGCATGGGCGAATGTGAAGCCAGGGAAAAAGACGGCTGCCACATCAAGGTTTGTAGGTATTAAAACTGCACATCTCTGGCACCTAGGTGGCTCAGTCAGTCAGGCATCTGACTTTAGCTCAGGCCATGATTTCAAGGTTCCTGAGTTTGAGCCCTGTGTCAGGCTCTGTGCCAACAGCTCCACGCCTGAAACCTGCTTCAGATTCTGTGTCTCCCTCTCTCTCTGCGCCTCCCCCACTCGTGCTCTGTCACTCTCTGTCTCAAAAATAAATAAAGGTTTAAAAAAATTAAAAAACAAAAAACAAAAACAGCTACACATCTCCAGAGAGTGCCATTCACAGACTCCAGGTGAATGGCACCTCCCAGGGTTGAGCCTCAGTGAATCCCAGGAAGGGTAATTTTCCCTCCCACTGAGCATACTGATTTGTCTATAGAGAAAGGCTTTTACAACAACAGATTGGAGCTTTGCTGAGTAGTCCTTAATTTTTGAAATGAAGGGAATTACCCTTGCTTAAAATATATGCTCAGACATCTGTTTTCCTCACTTTTTGGTGTCATTCTTACTCGGCTCCAGAAACAGTGGCTAAGTGGGGTCAGAGTATTTATTGACCATGGCACTAGGCTAGTGGTGGGGATACCAAGATGCTCTTGAGATCGCTGAGGACAATAATTTCTAAAAAAATGCAAAGACAAGTTGCAATTCCTTTTATTTACTTTATACTTATACTTTATTCGTTTTAGGCCCTGGACACATGGAGCAGTGTAGACAAATATCTGTTTTACTTGCTGTACTCAACAAAAAGTCCAGTTTTAGGGTTGACTAAAGCTACCTGGATTGGTAAGACTGAAGGCCTGCCCTTCAACATTTTTTTTAAATTGAAGTATTGTTAACATACAATATTATATTAGTTTCAGGTATACAAATAGTGATATGACAATTATATACATTACAAAATGCTCACTGCTTGTTTTCTTTTTTAACTTTTCTTTTTAACTTTTTAATGTACAATTTCTTTTCGAAATATTAAAACTGTGTGTTGAGAACCCTTCCATCCCATTTTCCCTAGGGCAAAAACTGCAGGTTTTGAGAACAACCGCAGCTCTCCATGGTGGGAAGAGCACTGGTGTGGTGGGTGTTAATAATGGCTGACAATAGCTCTGTGTGCTGCTCTTCCCAGTCAGTATCTCTGTGTTACCAGTGACCTTGATGGTATAAATGACCTCAAAGTGGGGCACCTGAGTGGCTTAGTCATTAAGCATCCAGCTCTTGATTTCAGCTCAGGTCATGATCTCACAGTTTATGAGTTCGAGCCCTGGATTGGGCTCTGTGCTGGAAAGTGCAGATCCTGCTTGGGATTTCTCTCCCTCTCTCTCTGCCCCTCCTTGGCACTTGTGCTCTCTCTCTCTCTCAATAAACAAACAAACAAACAAATAAATATTTAAAAGATAAATAAATCACCCCAAAGTATGATTAATGGTAGGGATTTCTGGGCTAGTGAGGAAAGCGCTTTTGAGTGAAGGTGAGGTCCTCTCTGGGGCAGCATGGGGAGGGCAAGGAATGCTGCCTTCTTCAGCTGTGTAATATCAGGCTATTGCTTGACCTCCCCTGGTCTCACTTTTTGGCTATAGTATGATAAACTCCCTTCCAACTCTAAAATTCTATCACTCAGGCTGACTGAGTTTATTTGAATATTTCCTAGGAAGTAAGGAAGAGGGAATAAATAAGAACATTCCAAATTACCCATGGACAAGAAGGCAAGCTGGGGGTATTGGTACCTGGAAACACCTTTGTGGCTGATCTAGGGTATGTATCTCCTCAGCTTCCAACCTTTTCACAGAGTGCTTGCTAGCGAATATTGAGACCAAATGATGCAGAACAGCTCTGGAGAGGCAAGCTCCCTCCTGAGCATTGGGTGTCTATTGCTTTACACCACGCTAGACCACACAAGGGTCCTGAGACCACACAGTTGAATAGGGGAATGACACAAATAACCATAAGGAGATTTGGAAACTGGGAAGGACCAGCAAGAAAGCATAAAAAAGCAAAGCATAATGGGAGTTTGAAGGAAGGAGTGATTACCTTGACTTAGATGTGATCAGAAAGGATTCTAGGGAGGATATAGCATCTTTCCACTCTTCCATGAGAGAGCCAGGGCTGACTTATTCCTAGTGAGCATCCATTACTTGTTTCATTTTTCAGGCTTGGTCTGGCATCATGAAGATTTGTTCAGACTTCTCTGAGTGAATCCTCTGACTCCTGAAATGGGTGAGAAAAAGTGGAAATTAAACCATAGGTCTTCATAGAGTGCTCCCTCTAGTCACCTTCACCATGATGAAAAGGATCTATTGATGGCCCTTCGAAGAATGGCCTGGGCCTGGGATCTGGTTAGAAATCCCCAGTAATTATGTCAGCTTTGTCATTGAAACCAAATGTTTTGAGCAGTTTCTGAGCTTTAGTTTCCCATTTATAAATAGGAATAATAATAATATACCTTGCTCACAAGTTGGTTGTTAAGCTCAAATAAAATAAGTGAAAGTATTTTGTAGGGCCTATATTATGCATTAATTAAGAAGAAAGACTCTAGGGGTACCTGAGTGGCCATCAGTTGGGTGTCAGAATCTTGATTTCAGCTCAGGTCATGATCGTTGGATACAGTCCCGAGTTGGGCTCTCTGCTGGCAGCTCGGACCAGCTTGGGATTCTCTCCTGTCCCACCCTCTGTCGACATGGATTGATGAACTTAAAAAAAGAAAGAAAGGAAGAAAGACTCTAGAGTGAAACTTCTTGGATTTCAGTCCTAGCCTTTCTTGGCATTTTTTGTGTGTGTGACCTTTGGCAAATCTCTTAACCTCTTTGTGCTTTAGTTTCTTCATCTACAATATAGGGATGACACTAAGACTTATGTCATAGGGTTATTGATGATTAAAATGTATTAAATGTAAAGCACTCAGAATAGCACCTAGTGTACATAG